TGGAATGGAAAAAAGTGAATTGAGGGTTAAGTTACATAGTGCTAAAAAATTATTTATATTCGGCAATACAGTACTGAAAAAGTCGTTTATGTTTGGCAACACAGTATTGAACGAATAATTTATGTTCAACAACACAGTGTCGACAAAATTGTTTATGTTCAGCAAAGCAGTGCTAAACCAACCCTTGGGTAGCCAACCAACCAAAGGATCAATTGGATGACCGAGTGGTTGATTGATGGTGTGATTTTGGCTTAGTTTTATAACAATGATGCAATGGCTTTGATAAAATAGACATTGTCGTTCACTGATTTCGAATAAATCAAAAAGAGAGACCGTCGCCGTCATCGTTCTTCAATTGAATAGGGATTGTCATTTTCGTTGTTTGACAGAAGAGGACCATCTTCAACCATGATGGAAAATGTATGCAAAATTAGGTAGATGTGCACTTGTGTATAATGATATTATGAATATGGATAAATTTGGTATTAAGTGGGGTGTTAAAAGAAATCTTATTGAAATTTAGGATTTAGAGTGGGGGTACAAAGAATTAAGATAGGTGCTAATAGCAGCCCTCCTCATTTAATCATGTTTTATAGTATTAATTTATAAAATGGGTTAATTTCACTTTTTACTCCTAAATTATTATCAAATTATCTATTTAGTTCATAAATTATCGATTGAGTCCACTTAATTCTTAAAGTATGTAAATTAAAATTTATTTAATTTCTAAACTATTAATTGAATCTATTAAATTCTTAAAGTTTTAATTCAAATTTAATTATTAGTCATTTTTTAATTCAAATTTATTTATTAGTCTAAAAAATGATTACAATAATAAAATATGAACTCATAAGTATTATGAATTAATAAAAGATCTTACACAGTTAAGATTTTATTTCAAAAAAACTTTAAATAGTTAACATTGATTAAATAATTAGCCAATGTTATGAATTGCCTCTCATGTACAAGAGGTTTCATGGTAGGATTCTCGTATGGCAACAGTTTGATGGCTTTGAAAAAGATACACACTACTTGGATTCCTCAAAAAAAAGATAATAATAATTATAGATTTTTATAGAATACATAATTCATATTATATATAAACAACTTTGTGAAATATTTTTATAAAATGATATAAAAATGATGTTTTAAAATTTATAATTCATAATAATGAAAATTTTGACTACCAAATAGAAAGAAAAAAATGGAGTAAACAAGATTATTGTTTTCAAACATTAAACTGTGAAACTAAACCAAATTATATTTATCAATTGATAAATGACATGAAACATCGCACTAAATAACTTTCCAACAAGGAGATGCAAATTTATTTTATTTAGAACAAATTTAAATGCATAGATAGTTTTCACACAATGAATCCCAAGTATAATACAAATAGTGGATTTCATGTAAATCCCATCTTTTGTCTTGTATAGTTTCTAATTCTATTTTAAAAAATAAAAAAGAAGAAGAATTAAAAAATTGTATTTATAAGTTTTATTTTTATGAATTTATTTACATTTAAATTTTTTTTTTTTTTGAGTAACTTACATATCGTTTGTCAATTATACATTTTAGCTAAAAATTCAGAAGTCACTATAAGTTGTTACATCACTCTCTCCATTTTTCTACACATCTTTTCATAAAAAGTCAAAAAGTTACTAAAATAGTTTGTTCCTAAATGATTCTAGTACCCTTGCATTTTTATCAAAATCTTGCTTTGATCTCTTTATTTTCAATTGTAATAATTAACCACTTACACTTTAATAAAAGTGTGAGAACTAAAATTAAATTTTACTAATAGTACAGGTGCTAATGAGGCAATAAAAATACTATGTATGTTTTAGGGATTAGTTTCCTTCTAGTACGTGATCGGGGCCCATGAAAGCCCACCACGAGTTCTGTTTTGATAATCTGAACCGTTAACGTGTAGAATTTGTTGAATACTATATGGCTTTAAAAAATCGTGTTAATCGGATAACGATAGCTACGTGATCAAATCAGTTTTGTATTAAAAAAATGGACGATGAAAAAATAAACTATTGACATAAACCTAATCCAACGAAATAACTATCGATATTCGATTAACGTAATTTTTTACAATCATATAGTAATCGACGAATTCTACATATTAAACGGTTCAAATTATTAAAACATGATTTGTGGTGAGTCCCCACAGACCTAACAATATTCTTAAATCCGATCATGGACCAGAGAAAAGTCCAGTCCAGTCCACAGACCTAACAATATTCTATACCTCGGTTGGTCACCAGGAAGCCCAAGAATTTGCCAGATCCAACTCCGAAGGCGCATTTGGACGCGTTGAGGCGTAACTTGTGTTTCTTCAGGATCTGGAACATCTCGTCTAGGTCTTTAAGATGGTCATTCTCATCCTTGCTTTTGACCACCATATCGTCGATGTAAGCCTCCATTGTTCTTCCTAACAATGGTTCGAACATCTTGGTGACCATCCTTTGGAATGTTGCCCCTGCGTTTTTTAGGCCAAAGGGCATGACCTTGTAGCAATATAACCCTCTTGGTGTTGTGAAGGATGTGACCTCCTGGTCTGGTTCTACATTTAAATTTTTTTTTTTTTTGAGTAACTTACCTATCGTTTGTCAATTATATATTTTAGCTAAAAATTCAAAAGTTACTATAAGTTGTTACATCACTCTCTCCATTTTTCTACACATCTTTTCATAAAAAGTCAAAAAGTTACTAAAATAGTTTGTTCCTAAACGATTCTAATACCCTTGCATTTTTATCAAAATCTTGCTTTGATCTCTTTATTTTCAATTGTAATAATTAACCACTTACACTTTAATAAAAGTGTGAGAACTAAAATTAAATTTTACTAATAGTACAGGTGCTAATGAGGCAATAAAAATACTATGTATGTTTTAGGGATTAGTTTCCTTCTAGTACGTGATCGGGGCCCATGAAAGCCCACCACGAGTTCTGTTTTGATAATCTGAACCGTTAACGTGTAGAATTTGTTGAATACTATATGGCTTTAAAAAATCGTGTTAATCGGATAACGATAGCTACGTGATCAAATCAGTTTTGTATTAAAAAAATGGACGATGAAAAAATAAACTATTGACATAAACCTAATCCAACGAAATAACTATCGATATTCGATTAACGTAATTTTTTACAATCATATAGTAATCGACGAATTCTACATATTAAACGGTTCAAATTATTAAAACATGATTTGTGGTGAGTCCCCACAGACCTAACAATATTCTCCAATCCGATCATGGACCAGAGAAAAGTCCAGTCCTATGTTTTAAATGACAAATTCTGACGACTCTATTAATGGTAGATTAATGAAGGGCAAATTACAAACACCCCTTCGAGGTTTGGTGAAAATACAGATTCCTCCCTGAGGTTTGAGAAATTACATTCCGTCTCCTGATGTTTATATTTTCATAACAAATTCCCCCTGAGGTTTTTATTTTCATACAGATTCCCCCCTAATTTTTCCTAATTTGTTATGAAAATTTGACTCTCAGAAGGTAATTTGTAATATCTCAAATCTCAAGAAGAAATTTATATTTTTACCAAATCTCGAGGGGGCGTTTGTAATTTGCCCATTAATGAAAGGTGAGATTATAATATGACTTATAGATTGTAAAAGTTGACTGTGATAGTTAAAATTAAAGAAATAAAAATATAATATTAATGAAAATACAAGGGTATTAAATGTAATTTACTTACTTTTCTTCTTCTTTTGTGTGGATGTACAATACAAGTTTTCCTTGTATAAGATTTTTCTCATGTAATTAATGTTAGGTCTCTGGGTAACTAATTGTTATGTAATTTTTCAGTAATTTTAGAATGGCAGTGGCTTTGGTCCAGTCAAAGATCGGATTAGATCGTGTTGTTGAGCTCGTGAGGGCCCACCACGGGTCCCGTTTTGATAATCTGAACCGTTCAATGTATAGAACTCGTTGAGTACTATATGCTTGTAAAAAATCACGTTGATCGGATATCGATAGTTATGTAAACAAAACAGTTTTTTATCAACCGTTAATTTTTTCATCGTCTATTTTTTTTATACAAAACTGATTTGGTCACATAGCTATTGATATTCGATCAACGTGATTTTTTACAAGCATATAGTACTCGACGATTTCTACACATTGAAACGTTTAGATTATCAAAACGGGCCCAGAGATGTGCCCCATGGGCCAGATTGGACGGGTCTAGTCTTGATCTCAACTTGAGACAAGCTGGATCCTTTTAGAATATAGGCAGGTGATATTTTATAATATTATGATTAGTGAAAAAAGTGAATCAGTAAAGTATTGTGTTGGGTGATTGAAAAATATAAAAAAACATATTAAGGCCAAGTTTGGGAAGACTAAAAAAGTGCACTTTTTGTCTTTTTGGACTAAAAAATTGAGGTTGAAAATATGGATGTTTGGGTTAACTTTTTGACTTTTTATTGAAAAATGTGTAATAAAAAAATGTAAAAATTAATTTGTAGGGAAAAATTTGAATTGGGAGTTGTGCAGCCGTAATTGTTGACTTTTGGTGAATAGTGTTAACTTTTTAGCTTTTTGAGTAACTTTTTAGCTTTTTGGCTTTTTTGGATCTTCCCAAACTTGTCCTAAATGATGATTGGTTAAAGAGTATGAACACGTAGTATTCCCAGAACATTGAATAATTTTCCCTCGATATTTTAGTTTAAAAATTAAAAAATTATTTTAAAAAATCAATAACTTATACTAAAAAATTAAAAAAAAATTTCTCCCTGTTATTTATTTATTTTTTTATAAAAAATTAAAAAATTTACTAAAATAACCTATTTGACCTAGGTGATAATAAACCAACATTGAATTGTAACATATTAATAAATAAATTACATTTTTAGAATGATTTTTAAAATGATTTTTCGTTTTTAAAATGATTTAAATATACCGTTCGTGGCTGTTTGTTTTGTTGTTGGTGTCTCTACTCTCTCGCCATAAGTTTCTGTTTTTTCTTCGCTCCCTTCCCTCATATATAAAAGCCGTCCTTCGTTCTCTTTTATTGAGAGAGAGAGAGAGAGGGAGGGAGGGAGAGAAGCCGAAGAAGAAAGCTAGAGAGAGAAAAAAACGAAAGACATATATATATGAATGAAAGCGTTGTGTTCCTCCACAGCCAAAACTCTCTGAAGAAGATTGAGAAGAAGAAATGTTTGAGAGAAAGAAGAGGACAAGGACTTGTTCCCATGAAAGATCTGATCTCTTCGATTCCTTACCCGACGATATCGTCATCTCCATCCTCTGCAAGCTCAGTTCTTCCTCTCGCTCCCCGTCCGATTTCATCACTATCTTCCTCACGTACGTATACTTATACATATATATATATACATACACGCGATTGTTAGGTTTTTTTGTACGATTTTGAGATTGATTTTTTGGTTTTTTTGTTGTTCAGATGCAAAAGGCTGAACCAGCTAGGTCTCAATCCTCTGGTTCTGTCAAAAGCCGGTTCGGAAACTTTCGCCATCAGAGCCAAAAACTGGTCGGAGAACTCTCACCGGTTTTTGAAACAGTGCGTCGTCGCCGGCAACATTGAAGCTTCCTACACTCTCGGCATGGTCAGTTCATCTCTCTCTCTCTATCTCTCTCTCTATCTCTCTATATATATATATATGTATTTGATGTTGTGTTTGTTTTTATCGGTGCAGATCCGATTTTACTGTCTACAAAACCGAGGAAGCGGAGCGTCTTTGATGGCAAAGGCGGCGATTAGGTCTCACGCGCCGTCGCTGTACTCCCTCGCCGTGATTCAGTTCAACGGCAGCGGTGGTTCGAAAACCGACAAGGACCTCCGCGCCGGAGTCGCGCTCTGCGCACGCGCCGCCTACCTCGGCCACGTCGATGCGCTCCGCGAGCTTGGGCACTGCCTCCAAGACGGTTACGGGGCGCGCAAAAACGTCACCCAGGGCCGCCGCCTCCTCATCCAGGCTAACGCGCGCGAGTTCGCGTCTTCTCTACGGGCCGCCGCTCCACCTTCTCTCCACCACCTCGTGACGTGGCAGTTGCAAAACCACCAACAACGAAACAGGCCTTTGACGGGTAATAATAATCGGAGTCCGGACTCCGGGTGCCCGTTGCTGAGTGATTTTGGATGCAATCTTCCTTCCAGGGAGGTCCACCCGGCGAACCGGTTCTTGGCGGAGTGGTTCGGGGCAAGGGAGTCGGATCCGGGTTTAAGAATGTGTTCGCATTCGGGATGTGGGCGACCCGAGACCCGGAGGAACGAGTTTCGGAGGTGCTCGGCGTGTGGGACCGTGAACTATTGTTCGCGTGGGTGTCAGGCGCAGGATTGGAAGGTGCGCCACAAGTTGGAGTGTACACCAATGGCGATGGATCAGTGGGTTGAAGCCGTTGATGGTGAGGATCAAGATGGTGGAGGTGATCGAATTGCTGAGGTTGAAGGTGGTGTTGGTGGGGCCAGTGAATGATTTGTATTAGAAAAGAGATTTTGAACAAATGGGTTTGGTTTGAAGTCCTAGTGTTCATTGGTAAGTCCTTTTTTTTTCCCCTTAACTTTTGCTTTTCGTGTACAGATTGATTTTTTTTTTTTTGAGGACAAGTGTGTACCAGAGAACAACAGGCTTTGGCTAGATTTTGGAAATGAATCGTCTAATCCATTATTTTATTTGAATTGATATTTTTGGTTAATTGTTTTTCATGTATGTGAAAGTTGGTTTAGTTTTACAATAATGTTGCAAATTACTAAATTTGTTATTATATTAGTTTTAAATATTTTTTAGTTAAATATTTTTATGTTATTTTTTATATGCATTTAATTTAGGTACACTTAAAAATAAAATTATTTATAAAATAATCTTTAAAAAAAAAAGAAAGAAAAAGGATTTACAAAGCCTTTGTTTGGGAAGTGGGTTGGCTTTTTGGCTTTTTGGCTTTTTTGGCTAATCCTAGTTCATGTTAAGATGGCTCGGAGCTTTTGGAAGATACGGACTCTTTTTTTTTTATATTTTTTGTTTTTACTGATTTTTTTTAATATTTAAATTAATTTTTAAATTTTTAAATACACTTAACATAAATACACTTAATAAGTATAATTTTTATGAATTTTTTTTATAAAAGATTCACTAAATACTAAAAAAATATAAAAATTCAATATATGTTGTATTTTTGTTAATTTATTAATTTTTTAAAATACTTTTTTATAAATATATTTAAATAAAGTGCATCTAAAAAAAATAAAATAAATAAAATGTTTAAAATTTTAAAAATATTTACTAAAAATAAAAAATATGAAAAAAAAACTTAATTTTCAAAAAATTAAAAGTAAATTATTTTTTTATAGAATTTCTCGTAATAAATAAAAAAATTCAATGTATATCATATCCAAAATATTTTTTTTTTATATATTTACGCAGAAGATTGATTCATGTGACCTTGAGCATCTCCATAGAAATAGTTAAAAAGGACTTTTTAGGTATTTTAGCTAATATAATTCTAATTTTAGATTCCAATGAGTTGGTTATTGGGCTAACTAGTTTATCATTCCTATCTTTTTGCTGACTATAATTGAAGAGTTCCAAAGGCTCTTTAAAAAAAAATGTATGCATGTCTTGGATTTTTATATATTTATGTCTTTGATTTGTAATTTTATATATTTCATATATGTATATGTGTATGTAGCAATTTTATATGTTCTTTTAATTTTGTTTGATGAATCAGAAAATAATTTATTTTGTATTTTGTATTTTTTTCTTCTCATTCTACAGGTTTTTTATGTTTGTATGGACAAATTTATTATTATTATTACAAGTTTACATTAGTAAAATACCAACAATTAGTATTTTTTGTTTTAAAAATTAATTAAGTTAGTTTGAATGATTGGTTAAAATAAATAGTGGTCGGAGAATATAATAGTTAGGATTTTTCTTAAGTGTACAACTTACACCTTACACTTACGCCTTTCTATTTGCTGTCATGTTTCATGTTTATACTTTCCATTTACACTTTTTGTGCTGGTTGTTGGTTGCATATGGAGTACCCTAATAGTTAAAATAATTAAGTAAAATAAAAAATGTATTTTTTTTTCATATAATGAAAAGTAAAAAGTGTGATGGGACTTACTCTCTTGTTATGCTCTCCGTTTATAAAATACTTTTCACAATTAATGAAAAACAAACCTCAACATAAAATGTTTTTCATAATTAATAGAAAATAATCTTATTTGGGAATAAAATATTTTTTAGTTTTAGAAGATGAAATTTTTTTTCTATATTAAAAACTTACTAAAATTACTATACTATATGACCGTCACTTTCATCTCTTCCACTGCACCGCTGCTATTCTTCAAAAAAAAAATATTTTTTAAAAAAAAATTATGTAATAAATCTTTTTTGCTTAAATATACGGAATGTTATATGTATTTCTAATATGTTTAAATACCAAAAAAAAAAAAAAACAGATTTTTATATTTTATCTTTTTATTGAGACAATGATAAAAATTAAAAAATTGTTAATTTTTTATTTTGTTTTGGAGAGGAGAGATATTTTTAAAATAGAATTTATTATGGGCCAAGACGTCCTTTCAAAACTAAAACGGTCGGGGCAACATGTGATCCCTCTTTATTTATTTTTTACGGTTAGAAATTGAAAACAACACTTTGGTTTGGTAGTATAATTAATAATATAGACTATGGTATATGGAATAATTAATTGGGTTAAAGGGGGCTTCCAAGAAACTTGATTTATACAAAAATTTAAAAATTGTGTTATATGTACTAATTAATATACCAAATTAATATATCAATACTAATTATGACATTATTATTGATTTCACTGATTATACAGATTACAAATATAAAAAAAAATTTAAAATATGTCACATCATCAATTGGTACACTAGTTGATATATTAATTTATGCATATAACATTACTTAAAATTTAATTGAAAAACTTTCAATTTTTGTTGCCTTATTTTATTATGGGATGAAACTAAATTGGAGTAATGCTAGAGACTCCAAATATTCTACTAAAAGTTTTACCAAATCTGTGGGTCCCATGTGGGTCCCACACCTATGTGAGACATTTGGTAAAATTTTTGATAAAATTTTTAAGACCTCTAACATTTTTGACTAAATTGGTATTAGTTCACGAAAGAATTGGGCTTTTAGAACTCGGAGCTTTTGGAAGATACGGACTATTTATTTTGTAAATTTCTTAATATATATTATTTATAAAAAAATTAAATTAATTTAATAATCGTAATATTTTTTTTATAGTATTTATTTATGAAAAATATATAGCTAGTATTTTTTTTATTATAAATAAATCATTAATTTTTGTCGAAACAAATACAATAAAACAAAATGATCATAATTACAAATCAATTTAATTTTTTTATAAATAATATATAAAAAAAATTAAAAAATAAACGATTTAATTTGTTAAAATGAGATTAGAGGGCGATTTTACAAGCTACTCAACGGACCTACCTTGGTTATGACAAAAGAGTTAATAAAACCAAAGATAAAGCAGCGCTTAATGCATGACGTAACCTATTAATGATAAAAATCAAAAAAATAAAAAAGGAAAAATTAAATTATTTATTCATTTATGGACCCAAATATATAGCCATATTGACTATTATGTAGGGTTATAGTGGACCCATAGTTATAGCATATATTTTGACTATTAATAGAACTGTAGGGTTGTATATGCTTTTTTTAAATATATGTAGTAGAGCTGTACGGTTATATGGTCCACCAACCCAATGTTATTTGTATGGGAAAATGTATTTAAAAAATAATATATAATTCAAATTATTACTATAATCATATCTAACATTTCTTTTCAACTAAGCCTCCGTTTGAAAAGTGGGTTAATTTTTTAGCTTTTTGATTTTTTGGTTATTTTAGTCTGGGCTTAAAAACTTGATTTGGGAAGGAATTTTTGACTTTTTGACTTTTTTGAGTTTTTTTGTGAGAAAAGAATGTAATGATTATGGGTTGAATGTGATATTTTGTTTGTTATGGTTAAAATAACCTATTTTATTTTTTGTGACTAAAATAACCAAAAAAGTCCAAACCATGGCATCCCAAACGAAGCCTAAAACATATATTTATGTGTGTGGGTAAAAATCTGACCACACTGCCCGTTTAGTGATCAGCAGCAAAGCACCGGCAGAATAGATGGCTCCAGCAACCTGTAACAGAAAGGAAAAGCTCCGGCGGTGGTTCTTCTACCCGGGGGCACTCCGACGATCAAGTCAGTATGTTTCTCACAGTGGATCAGACCATACTAGACCTTACATAGCAGACCAACATCCAGCAGAACTAACAAAGCAACTGAAGACTTGAGCCTAAACCAGAGAGCAGACCAACAGATCAGGCCAACCAAAAAGCAGACCAACCCAGAAACCAACAGATCAGATAACATCCAGCAACTGATGAGACCAACAGATCAGATTCCATCCAAGCCCATCTGACTCAACTCCTTTGCTTATCAACTGACCAATAGAATCAGACCTAAACATAGCCAGAACAGAGCACCAAGGTAGAACAGAGCCGAAGAGCAGACCAACCAAAGAGCAGACCAACACAGCAGAGCCAGACTGATAGCTGAACTGCCTTCCAGCAGGTAGAACAGAGTAAAACAGCAGCAAGGAAGATCAATCTGAGCCCCTGATCTGCTTCCACTTGAAAACTATATCATCCACTGAGAAGGGGAAATCCTTGACTGATGCTTTGAGCCAGAGGGCAGATCTAAATTTGATGAGATCCAGCAGACCAGAAAAATTAGGCTGAGCCTTAGAAAACACACAATCATTCCTATGCTTCCAAATAGACCACAATATGACTAAGGGGAGGGCTCTCCAAATAATTCTAACATACTTCTGAAATTTCTCACTCATCTACCAATGAAATAAACCAGCTACTGAATTTGAAATGCACCATCGAAGCCCCCATTCTTTATTAAAATAAAAGTCTAGATAATTATATCAAAAAGTATATTAAAATAATCTATCTTTTTATTTTTTTTTATCGAATCACCTCTCTACTTTTCTGCACATCTTTTCGTAAAAAGATAAAAAGTACACTTATTTAACTCATCCCAAACAACCCCTAAACTAATTGCATTTTACTTTCTTACCAATTTTACAACATTTTATTAATATTTTCACCCCAATGTGATGCAAACCAATAAGCAGGATACTGGTTAGCATTTAACGAAAAATAAGAAAGATGTTCAAGTCAAACCACAAGTGGGTATATAAACAATGGACAACATAGAATTTGAATCCTATATTAATAATGTGATGAGATATACATTGAATTTTGATTCTCATTTAACAATTAGATTTTCTAAAATTGATCAGAAATTGTAACTCTTATATGAAAGTTAGAAGTTTAAGGTAGCGTTTGCTTTAGTTTTAGAATCATGATTTTAAAATGGAATTATATTTTGAGTTTGTAAGTTATTGAATCATGATTTGAAAAAAGAAAATTTGTTTGATTATGAGTTTTAAAAAGAATTTTGAATTAAGTTTTGAATTTTTGAAATGAGTTTTGAAATAAGAAAAATTGTTTGGTTATAAGTTTAGAAAAAATTTTCAAAACTTAATTCAAAAATTTATAACTCTTAACTAAA